CTAATTGTGTTTTAGAACTTTATTTGTCGAGACCAGTGGCTATTTCATTATCTTTTCAATTTGAAGGAACATATGGGTGCAGAACAGTAGCTGTGATTCCTGGTGTGCTTGGTCCAGTTGTGGTACAGCTTTGTATTCATTGTCTGACGTGTGTTCTGAAACTTAGTTCACCTTCTGGCAATTTGTCCTCGGAGACTAACAACAGTTTTTCAAGGGAGAATTTCTTGTTGGTGAAGGGGTTTTACTGTTAGTCTTTACCACGTATTTCCAAGGAAAATTAATTTTTTCGTCTACCACTTAAAGTAAACATGTATGAACAAAAGGACATGTATTCACTGACAACTCATCTTTAATGCCAAATATACATGACATTATGCAAGTCAAAAATGGTATCTCACCAAAGTTACATTCAGGCAATTTCTCTTGGTCATAACAATGTAGATTACTTTCTGATGAGGTATAGTAACCAGTCCGTCAGTCAATGTAGATTACTTTCTGATGAGGTATAGTAACCAGTCCGCTTACCGCCCATATCACTCATGTGAAACTGCTCTTCTTAATATTACCGACAACTGGTTGAAAGCCATGGACAACAGTGAACTCGTTGGTACTGTCTTTTTAGACCTAAGCAAGGCCTTCGACTAAGTAAACCATAACATTTTACTTGCAAAACTTGCTAAATATCATACTGAAACAAACACAATGGACTGGTTCAGATCTTACTTAACAGGCCGCACACAAGTTGTATCGGTCTCTGGTGTGTTGTCTAGCCCTTTAAATCTTGAAGTCGGGGTACCACAAGGTTCCATCTTAGGTCCACTTTTGTTTTCTATCTATATGAATGATCTACCCCTCTTGTTAAAGAACACTGAAGTCGACATATATGCCGATGACACAACGATCTGGTCGAGCGGAACCAATTGTACAGATATTCAAAACACTCTTAATAAAAGTCTAGACAAGGCCAACAGTTGGTGTAAATTGAACAGGATGATACCAAACACAAAGAATACCAAACACCTGCTAATTGGTTCTGTTCAAAAGCTAATCCATAGTAGCGAGACTACAATGGAAATTTATATCGATAACATCAAATTAGAGGAAGCGGCAGGAGAAAAGCTGCTCGGAGTTGTCATCGACTCAAACCTTTCATGGAACTTACACATTGACTATTTGATTAAAAAATTAAACTCTAGAATATGTCTCCTTAAAAGAGCAAAGGTTAATTTAACCTTTGCTTGCAGGAAAATGTTGGCAAGCCAATACTAGAGTATTGTTGTACGGTCTGGGGTAACTGTACTGTTGGTAATCTCCAAAGAGTTTTACGACTACAGAAACGATGTGCTAGGCTTATTTTAGATGCTCATACTCACCAAAACTCAGTCAAGCTTTTTAACAAATTAGATTGGCTACCTATAGATGATATTATACGTATTAGGAAGCTTTATATGCTTCATAAAATAAATCAAGGACATTGCCCGGCTTATTTTAATAAATATATTGAACATATAAGTAACACCCATAATCATAACACGAGATCGGTTTCCAATAACAATATTACAACACCAGCTTGTAAAAGGAACTCTGGCCTTCGAACGTTTCACTCAAGCGCTTGCCGTTTGTGGAACGCTCTTGATCCCGAAGCTAAGACACTCTCCCATACTAATTTTAAAAATTACTTATTTAAACTTTATGGTAGTTTGATTTCTTCTCTTGATCATTTTAAGATTTGTAAAACCTTTTAGTTTCATTAGTAGTCAATTAATCAATATTGTATTAATAGTAGTTTATTATGTAATTTGAGTTGGTAGATTATATTGGTAGTTAATTAATTAATTGATACTTTTTATTACTTTAATTGTAGGAGGGCCATTATGAAAACTACTGGGTGACCAGTAATCAATGTCTTTACCCTCATTAAATAAAGTTATTACAATTACAATTACAATCTAGGTGTATTTCTTTAGAGGGTGAACTGTAGATTTGGGTTTAATATTTTCTTAATGTTTCAAATTTGTTTCTTGATTGATCATTGAATTGCAAAGAAACAAAATATGTGCATTGTCGCAAAATACTAACACAAAACAGTCAATATACATCATTAAAAGTACATGAATTAACAACGGGAACAAATAGAATAAAAAATTCATCTGTTTAAGAACCTTTTTGTGAAGTGGTCAGTTCTGATGTCTGGGAGAATGAAGGGATGGTCTTCTATGAAATATATAAACATCCAAGCTCTGATGTCATGAATGCAACACTATGGTTCTGAACGGTGGTTCTTGGGCATGTTTGGCACGTATGTTTTTCCTGTGCTAGCCCTGGGTTCACAAAAATTAACTGGTAACTGGATGAGTTGGAATGTAGATTCCAAGTCTAGATAGCATTTTACCCATACTCTGTGGTGAACTTTGGCATTCGCCAATCCAACATGCTAGAACCTGCTCTATGTGATGGACACGCAGTGATCAAACATTGGTCTTTTCTGAAGTTCATGTGTAGTTATTTCTTTCTGGGTGTTTCTTGAGCTTGAGTTCTCTCTGTTTGCTGCAGCCTCTAAGAGGCGAGAGACGGGTAAATAAAATAAGAAAATTGTCAAGCTCTTGTGGCTGTGACCACTACTCTTACTGCAACCTGTACTCTCTTTGTCCTTTCTTTGACTGTTAACACTTTTGCCTGCCAGTTTGCCTCATCACCGTCTGTCTTCAACTGATATTAAACAGTCTTTGTGAAGTGCAAAGTGAGGTGATGCATGATAATGGTGGTAAAGTGGTGATGTTGAAACAAAGAAAACTGCAACGTAGAGGTCATAGAAGGAAGATGATGTTTGTTGCCTTTGTGGTTCAAGGTAACATAAGTTGTATGTGAAAATTTGCACTTATTATAACAGCTCAAGGCTTTTAATATGTCATCCGTTCTATCAATATATTTTTACTGAAATAAATTTCAAACTTTAGGACAACTGCATGAACTGTAAAATTAGAAGGATTTTATCTGTTTTGAATTACTCATTTAACAGCAATCCTTGACTTTGATGTGATGTGAAATCTTTAAAATAGTGAGATGGAATTTTGTGTATACGAAAATTTATGTAAAACCGTTGTTTGTAAAATCCTGTTAACAAAGTCACATCACCCTGTTGAGTGGGGTTCCCAGGGTTACTCACTTTGATTGTGATGATGTACTCATGTGACTTCACAACACATCAAAGATCGGCGATAGTTTTCTACCGATCCACTATCTTTGACTTTTCGAGGTCAATTAGTTTGTCTGGATTGAGTATCACTTATTTCCCCTTGACAACAAAATGAGGTTCCAAGTTTTGTTTGGTGACTTAATCCTTTCACTCCTGGGTGCCTTAAGAGCCTGAATGCCTGCTATTCCTGGGGCTAATTAGGGCACTCGCTCAAAACTTTGACCAAAAACCAAAACATGCATGCTCAGTAGAATTTGGAGTCCTTGTAGACATAGCTAGTAAGTTAAAATTGAGGTTAAGATATTGTTCTTCAAAGGAAAGCATAGTTGCACAAATATAACTATGCTGTCTAAAGTAACAGTGCCCAGCAACTTTATGTATTTAAGAAATTCGAATTTACTGCCATTTCTGCTGGATGAGCGCGGGGTCAAACTAACAAAATACATTACAAGTTACTACAATACAATTTAGACTAAGCCAATAAATGACATTATACAATCCTGTTATAAATTTACTTTGTATCCTTTTTCTCTCAAACAAAAAACTAAGTAAAAATTAATGTCAAAAGGATTTCAGTTCAGGCATCTGTACTGTGGTATTCGACGAAGCACCGCACTTTGCATAACGCATCACCACATTCTTGACGCTTGTTTTTCGTTTTTACTTTCGGAGTTTTCCTGCCAGCAGTTTTGCTTAAGACACACTCCTTCTTTCTCCCTTCTAAACGAATGGCCTGGTGGTCTCTTCTTGGCTAAGGTGCTTGGCTTGGTGCTGGCTGCTTTCGATAGGTATATCCATTGATCAGGCGCTTGCCCAATTCTAATAAAAAATCAGCCTGTGGACGGGTTCGCTGGTGGTTCCTCAGTCGATGTTCGCACTCTGAAATATACGTGTTGCAAGCAGCAACATTGAACGCAAACCAAAAGATGTACTTATACCACTCTTGCGACTGCCGACTGACTGTATAGGAAGATCGAAGTTGATCTGCTCGATCAACGCCACCCATATTTTTCATGTTAAGGTCGGAGACATGCAGCTGTTCGATTTGGTGTACGACTGTTTCTCCTGGCAGGCGAAGTTTGTTCTTGGCGCATGGCGGCAAGTCTCTGCGGGTACATCGCACAGTCAAACAAACGTACGTTTGTTGAGCTAATAAATGCTATAAAAGAATGGGACTGGAAAAAATTATCGAAGAAGACATGATGATTCTGATTTAAGAAGCGACAGGCCATGTTCATGACATCATATCCTAGTCCGTGAATTCGCCTGTTTTGCCCTTTCCTTGGTAAACAGAGAAATTTACAACATAGCTATTCGAGGCATCAGCTGCCATCCACACTTTTATACCATTTTTTGTGGGTTTAGCTGGCAAATATTGGCAAAACAACCTGCCTTTAAATGCTATCATTCCCTCAATAGAAATTTTTTTCTTTGAGGAATAGCAGCAATGAGCATTTCTCAATATTGAGGTAAGAGCGGGACGACATTTGTACGGCCTATCAAAATTTTCGTCGCCGCCTGCAGGTTCTTCGCTTGACTTATTTAGATGGAAAAACTGGCTTATTTCTTCAAACCTATTCTTTGACATGGTCTGCTTTATTCCATCGTTGCAGATGACAATATCTGACGACCAGTCGTCGGCGAGTTTGGGCAAATTATTTATCCCTATTATGACACAAACGTCAAGATAAGCCTTCATCTCGTCTTTCTCACGTTTAAAAAACTCGTCTAAATCACTGTTCTTTGTTTGACAGGATATGTAGAGGCTTGAAAAAAGTGTACAGTCACTCTTCATGGATGACAACTACTGTGACGTCCTACATGATTCTTTTGGTGCAGAAAAATTGAACAAACTGACTTTGTTTCTCTTGATAGGATCATACAGTGACTTTGTTCGATTTAAAAGACGTTCAGTTATGAATTGGTTAAACTGCTGTTTACCAATGGCCTCTATCTGACATAAAATTGTAACTGCAGCTGCCCCAGCAATTTCTTTAGTGTCCATAACGATAAGGTCTTCACTTTCTTCCAGGAAAGGGTTACCAAAATCCTTAATCGTTGTGACTAGGGATTTCATGTCTTTGAAAAATGACACTTGAGAGCTTCTTTGTACTTCATGATGATCTGCTCCTTGAACTTCGACCTCTGTTGTCATAGAAGCTTGAAACTCGCTCACAAGTCTTGCCATTTCCGGCCCTGATATCATCCATTGACGGAGAGCACTAGGGTTCTCTGTAAGGCCCACAGCCCCACCATCCCCTTTGACCATCCCATTGTTCTCTTCGTGCGCCTGATAGATAGCAATAGCAGAAAACCGCCTTGGAGACTTGTGGACTGTGAACAACCCCTTTTCAAACTGAAGGAAGACACCTGGGGCTGTCTGCTGAACTGCACTTGTATCCCGAAGATGAACGGGAAGCCAACATGCATAATTAGTGTGATTGAGTGCAAAAAACCAAGGCAACATCTTGTGGAGAGTGTCAATGTAGAGCCTGAAGTTGGCTTGACAAAGCGATCTAATGAAAACGAACAGCGAAAGCTTAAGCTGCAAGGAGATATACCAGAACTGGAATTTGGGGTACCGCAGATACTTGTTGAGCGCACCAATTATCAAAAAGAAGGTCATCTCCATCATTGAGACCCTCTGAATACTTCGCATATGCCTTTTGCAGTAGCATGTAAAGGCTGCTGGCAACAACAGGAACTTGACCAGGATTAAGGTAGTTTACGCATGCTTTGATGACATCCATTGCATGCCGGAACATTGCCATGGACTTAGCTTGGTTGGGAAAAAGAGGCAGAAGTGCAGACAGGGCGGACAGACCAGCCCGATTCTGTTGCTGATCTGTAGTGGACTGATATGCTGCTTAGGAAATGGTTTTCTTGTCCTCAAGACTTGGGTGATTCTTAATGATGCCATTGACATCCTCAAGCCAGTCTAGTTCCTTTTCCATTGCACCATTAACGGTACTTCCTCCTTGTAATTGGCTGCTTGTTTCATGAACTGGAGGGGTCTTGTCAGGAAGAACTGCAGGCGTCACCTCTCTGTAAGACACGGGTAATTCCGCCACAGATTTTGTGTTAGCTGTGAAACATCGAGATTTCTGTTCCAACATCCTTCAGTGTAGGCCTTTGATGCCAGGAATGAGGACAATCGATTGCATAATGAGACAGGTCTTTGCAAATGCAGCATTGGCTGTCCTCAGGTCAGTTGCAAGAAACATGTCCGATTTGATCACAGTTAAAGCAAATAATGTTCTGACAGTCTCTTAATTAGATGCTCCTCTGATCAACATTTTCTACAGGTCTTGGGCTGATTATCAAATGTAACATGCACTTGATATTCACTGAAGTGAATAAAAGATGACGAATGCCATTTAAGACATCTCGATATTCTTGGCATTTTCCCCTTCTAATAGAGTAAATTCAACCATGGACTTCTTAGAACCCTTGGAGCCCCAGAACCCCTGGGGGGTTTTGGCTCATAACCAATACTAAACGTTAGATTGTGCTTGCCACTTGAGGTGGAATGACTAACAGATGGCAAACGTCCAGAGGGTGATTGACTGCAGCTGTGACTGAAATCCTGACCATGCTGCACAACCGGGATAGACCTAGATTTGCCCGAAGATACAACCACAGGAGGCCTCTTTTTGGGAGGATGGGGGAAATCTAACAGGTGCAGCAAAGTGATCACTATCCCCAGTGTCCTCAGAGGAATCATGGTGTGAACGTCTTTGGGATTCAAGCGCCAATTCCATCTCATTGGCAGACCTTCCAGTGAGAACGCTCTCACCAACATATTCAGTAATTTCACCTTTCTTTGTTGAATTTTGAGTAGGATCATTATTACTAAGTACATTAATCACTACATTATCATTAATGCTTTTACTTTCGTTACTTGCATTCTCATTATTATCACTAATATGACTTTCATTTGTACTAATAACTTTGTGTTTTATGTCTCCACATAAGACCAACCATTGCTTAGCAACCTTAGAAATAGAGTCGTGACACCACAAGGTACAAAATATCCTTTCAGGAAGTTGGGAAAAGTCCATAAGGAGTCGGGTTGTGATGTCATGGGAGATATATTGAATAATTGCCCAATGATCCTTAGTGCCATTATGAAAAGTAGCTTTATTACGGAAATACCAGAGGGCATAGAAGACCGTCTTAATGAAATAGCGGGCAGTGGCATTGTTCTTATCGCAAGTATTGAACCATGATTAAAAAACACTGATTTAAAATTCACTATAAAAGGCTGAGGGAACAGACTAGAAAGGGTGAGGATTAAAGTCGCCGACACCCTCTTAGCTCTAACACAATTCAAAAAACAATGATTTATATTCTTTGCGATCACAGTCAGCACAGAGATCAGAGACCGAGTAACCCCAAGACTTTAGGGAGTTCCTTACTTTAACAGCTCTCAAAGTAATGAGCCACACTGGATCATTCTTAAAATTTTCCGTCAAAGAGTCACGAACAAGGGACCAGTGAGTGGAAAGAAATAGGGAATAACCCAAATTATTGGAACATCTATATGGGAGAACAGGGAGAGAGGTAGTATCTTTCAGTAGTTCACTGTAACAATTCTTGGAAGAAAAACAAAAGCTGGACTTAACTGGTATTCTCTTGGTCACGGTTACTAAGGAGTTAAAGATGCATTCATAGTGCTTAGAGGGTGCCAAGGCACTAGGGAAGGAATTGTCACGTAGGTGTGACCACTTCCCCCTGAGTCTGGCCAGTTGAGACTGATTTAGTACTTTTAATGAGGATGTACTGTAAGCCCCGACGTCTGAAGTTTTCAGCCATAAATTTGAATAGTGAACTTCAACAAACCAAAGCAATTCAATAACTTTGTTTCACCACGAGTGTTTTTATCATTGAAATGCTGGAAATATATTAAACAGCTACAAAGGTAAACTACAACCAGAACATTTTTCTTAAGGGGTTACTGTCTTAGCATCTATCATTCTTAACACTTCTAAATCAACAAATCCCAAACAATCTTCTTTTAGTGTACACAGATTAAAATGTTTTAGTGGGTGTCTTATTACGACCTGCCCACTTGTCATTGGTGTGTTTTAAGGAACAACTTGTATGTATGTAAATAAAAACTTAAGATGCTAAGACTGTAAACCTCAAAGCTAGGCTGTGTTTAAAAGATGGATGTCATCTGTCATAGTGTACCATGAATAAGGAAAAGTTTACCCTTACTCTCACTTAAAATAACGCTTAATTTACCATTTGATGTCAATATTGAACAATGCTTCCCTTGCGTAATTAAAACAGAAAAAGTTGATAATGAATTGTTGGTAATTGTGAATCATCTGAATCTTGAAACCAAACAGGAAGAGGTTCATTAATTGTGGCAACTTCAAACTCTTTCCGCGTGAGTGTGCAAGGTGTTTCAACTTCTAAGTAACAAGCAGGTGAAATTGTTGGCAACACCTAGATACTTGATTGAATCTTTGCTCTCAAGGTTTGCTTGATCAATGACAAGCTTAATTTCTTGGCAGGTTTGCGACCTTCTATCACCACCAAACATTACGAACTTCGATTTTGATGTATTTAAGGTCAGATAGTTGTTGTTAAACCATTCGGCAAGATTGGCAAGGTCGGCATTCAGATGGTGTTCAATATTTTGACAGCAATTTGCACTGAAGTAAATCACTGTGTCGTCTGCATACATAATTACCTGGCAGTGCTCTAAACAGTTGGGAGGGTCATTAGCATATATTAAAAAAAGAAGAGGCCCAAGGATGCTTCCTTAAGGTATTCCAAAAGGAACCTTTTGTCGAGTCAACTGCCAGTTTTCAACAGATGTGACTTTGACTTGATACCGACTTTCAAGGTATGAGGCAAACCACTTCACCACTTGAGAACTAGCTCCAATGGTCTTGAGGTTTTTGACAAGAAGCACATGGTCCACTGTATCGAAAGCCTTTGAAAGATCTAAGAAAACTGCTCCAGTGAAGCCACCTTTATCAAGACTCTGTAGTAAACATACATAAAAATACTTCCAGTGAAGCCGCCTTTATCAAGACTGTAGTAAACATACATAAACATGCGCCTAACAAAAACTGAATTTTTGCTCTGAGACATAAAACATTTTAAGTCTCAGTTAAAATCATGGAAGAAACCTTTTAACTAAATTAATCAAAGCTCTAAATAGTGGAACAAATATGGTGCGAAATTAACATGTCTCAAATACCGTATTTATTCGGCTATATGCCGAGCGATTTTTACACAAATTAAAACTGAAGTGAATTAAAATTTGTGCTCTAGAGGGGGTCTCGGCTTATAGCCGAAAGGTTTTTGATTTTTCCGGCGCATGGAAACTCTACTAATTCGAAATGTATTTACGTATAAGCCGAGCTAAAGGAAAGAAACACAATATGCAATCGTTGGTTATTAACTTTTAAGAATGTGGTGGCTCCTAAAGGAGCCGTTTGTTAAATTTAAGGTGTTTTCACAGAAAAGATTAAGATTCTTGATAGGGAATAACTGTGACCCTGACAAGATGTGATTACAAATGGATGGAACTTGACTGTTTGCTGCTCCAAATCTTCTGTGAGACGCTGAGTGAGTGTTGTTTTGATGCGAAGGCTGACGGAATGGTGGCGCTTTCATTTCTGGTACCAGCCGAGGGACGCTTTAAACTCAGGATCCTCGCTGAATCCTTTGCCTTAAGACGTAACATCAATCCACTAACAGCTATTCCTATGCAAAACGAAGTGAGAAGGTTACCAAACGATCGAAAGGTTAAAAATTTGACACGTCTTGAATTTGTTTTGACATTTGTGAAAACTGGCCAATAAGAATCTTTCATACACAATGTGGTCACATGATACTACGATAGTTTTGAGAGTCACACATTCAACTCATATTCACTCTGCAATCAGCTGATTGATTTATTTCGTGATCTTGTTTCTGTTGTTTTAAAATACAAAATCAATGCTAGACAAAAAACTTACCTTGGCTTCTCTGCTTTGTAAACCATTCCAGTATTCTTTGATCGAGCTCCGGATACTTTGGCGTGAAGCATCCCATCGACTTCCGTTTCACTGACAATTTAATCTCACCGTTAAAAAAGGTTCGCTTGATCTTCCCTCCAGCGACGGACCATGGACTCACTGATGCCATATTCTCTGGCGATTTCAAAGTTGTTTTCAACAGCTTCTGCTTCGGCGACTATTTTAAGTTTAAACGCGAAGTTGTATGACGTGCGACGAGCCTTGGGCATCATGACAATTTGACTTAAAATAAACAATTGCGAACACGAGATTGTTTGATAGACGCTATGGATGTCTAGGTACTGGTGATGCCGCTTAACAACACAGTTAGTTTTAAATTCATTTTTTGGATGACATTAATTCATCTGAGTTATGATTCGTTGCTTTTCAATTGAATAGTTAGTTACGGGTAATATTTATTAATTCGTGTGTGTTTTCTAAGAGGGAAGCTTTTTGCATAATAAATCACCATTGCATACGCGCGTGTGTGTTATCATCTAAGCCTCATTTATGACAATCAATGTGATTTTTCTCCGAAAATGTTAGGTTTTCCCGTAGTTAACAATTCAGTCGTGTAATAATGAATGGTCTCGGCTTATAGCCGGGTGTTTTCGATTTATTTTTGGTTCTTGTTATGCCGAGTCTACACGTTCAAAGTTTGGGGTCTCGGCTTATAGCCGAATAAATACGGTAGGTAACAATATACGTCAGTTTATGATTAAAAATACAATCATAGTTTTATTCATATCAAAATGACCATAAACGGACATTCAATTTGAGTTTTGGGCTAGAATTAATAACTTTCTTTTATATCGATTTGGATAATGTCTATATTGCCAACAACATATCCTTCAAGGCGAAGCGAAGGATTATCAGCAAAGTGTATTTGACATGAGCATTATTCACTCAAACTTATTCAAAATGTTCACAGCCTTTAAAATTGCGCCTTGGTAACTTCTATAAACTAAGTACTGGCCACAAGGATTTAAGTGAACTCCATCCTCCAACAGGAAATCAAGGCTTGGAGAGTCCAAAATCTTATGTTGCCATACAAACACTTCTGGGCGGTCGACAACGACACTTAAATAAAGATTTAATACTTGTACCTTATTAAACGTTGGCTCAGCTTGCTTAATCACCTGACAAACTCCAACTACCCCAACAGAAAAATGGTTCAACGACAACACGACTAGTTTGTCAATCTGAGAACCAACCATTTCTGGTGGTTTATTACAAAGGTCATTGGTACCTATTTCTGATATGACAAAATCTGGTGCAAAGAAAGGAGACATTAAGTCAAATGGCTCAATTTTATTAACCGTCCTTCCGCCAACACCAAATAAATGGACCTTAACGTCTTCGAGGTTGAAGTTACTTTTGGCGCGATCGTCAAAATGTTGCTCCAAGTCACCACTGAGTTGTTGAACAAAAGAATGACTAAGTATCATTACTTTCGGGACACAAAGCCATTTTGGACTGAAAGGGAAATAATTAATTAAAATGTCAAATCACTTGTATCCACAAAAACCGAAGTGATGCGACACCAGCCTAAAATGTTGGTGACAATGGTTAAAAGTCATTGAAAACAAATTGAAAAGTGAAAATGGGTTGCAAGTTGCGGCCGCTGATGCAAATAAACTATGAACTAGACATAATGAACAACTAACTTATCAAAATAAAGAGAGAGAAAACTCACCTGTCCTGACAGTGAGGAAGAAATTTTTTGTGTCAACAAGATCAAGAATGCGACATCCAGTATACAACAATCAATATATATATATTACCTAAAGACACCATCTATGAAGGCTAGATTGTTGCACAAAATTTTATTTGCAGACAAATAATGTATTTCTTGATACAAGAAATGCTTAAGACACAGAATTTATTATTAATAACACAAATGTTTGTTTTTATTTATTTACTTTTTTATTTCATTTCATTTGTTTCAAAGTACAACAGTTACAACAAAATAGCACAAATGTAACTGGAGGAGCAAATGTTGTACAAGGAAGAATTGCAAATTATAACAAAGGTTTTGCTGCAAGAAAAGCATTATTGGGAACATCATCCACAGCAAGTGTGAAATTGCTCTTAACAGATACTCATTTTTTGAAGCCTTGGCAGATAAATTACTGCCCAACAAAAATTGAGTTAAATATTGAAATTGAACAGAGATACCAAGTTAATTTGGCAAGTGGCTGATAATTGTTATTCTTACAAGACTTAAACGTTTTGTTCGAAGATTGTCCTTTAACTCAGAAAAAATAATATCTTCATGGAATAATATTTTCAACCTTACAAATGGACTTATTTACATGAAGCAGTGGAAAGGTCATCAGCTGAAGACAGAGAACTGAAAATTTTAGAATTACAAGCGCTTTTTTAAAACCAAGACATCTTTTTGTCTTAATCATAAACACACCAAATATTGAGTCACAAACAGCAAATCCGTTTTTGTACAACACTTGTAGTGTATCAACCAACCCAAGAACATTGTCAAGATGTTATTTTGCAGTTGGAAATGGAAATGAATTCCCCGATATTCACTACAAGCCATCCTCAGACTTATCAAAAGTTTATGCAGATGTAATGAGTTACGTTTACGCAAATAATGATTTCCAAGGTGGAACACTTCTTAAGAAGTAATTTTAGTACTTTATTCCCTTTTGTTTCTTTTGACCTAACAAAACAAAAGATGGATATTAAAGATGGAGTTACAAAACTAGCGTTTCATTATGAATTATCAGGAAATACAGGTGCAGATTACAATGTTTACTCTCTTGTTCTTCACGAAAGGGAGGTAGAATTAGATAAAAAAGGTGGATTAATATAATGACTAAAATAAAATGACAACTTATATTGAATACAAAGTAAATTTGACGGATTCTCAGAAGTCAAAAGTGGCTTCTGCAGTAAAAAATAAATCTCCATTATAACATTCAAGTCGAAAAGGAAATGTGAAATGATGCTACGAGAATACAGATAACTAAATTAGAAAAATCTATTGCAAATGGAACAGGAACTGATATAAAAAAAGGTAAAACACAAATATCTAAGTCAGTAAAACATGGAGGAAACTTATTCACAGCATTTGCATCTCTTGGAACAAGACTTCTTCCTTATGCTATCTCAGCAAAATCGATAGTTGCTCCTGCATTAGCAACTGGAGCTGTTTAATCACTTGGAAGTCTTGGAATTGCTAAGTTACTTGGAAAAGGAATTACTATTCCAAAGAAATATATCTCAATGTTGCCTCCTTTCAAAAAACAGTTTTCACCGTCACAAATAAACCATAAAGCGGGGGAAATAATTGCTGCGGAGCGACCGAAGGGAGCGAGCAGCAACATAATCAGGATTTAAAGGAAATATATAAGGGGCGACGAATTCTCGAATTCATCACTTTTTACCACAATGCATTGCATTTAACGACACTTTTTACCACAATGCATTGCATTTAACCAGAATACGTTGCGCCACGAACAACTCAAATAAAAACACGGGGAAGTTCGGTGGGTGAGAGAGTGCATCGTTCGCTGCTCAGACTTAGAGTTTTCTTTGTGGCAAATTTTCTACAGCACGGTTAGAGGTCTTACCAAATTTTAAGACACGCAGGAGTCTTTCAGATGAGTACGATGGTTAACTTGGGGATTGGATTTCAATTCAAGAGCCTTTTTGACTCGTCCAGGTGTTAAACCTGACGAGAAGATGAGCATTTGCTATTATGCTTCGACTCCGCAACACGGGGGATATACAAATTCCAGCTTGCTAGAAGGTGATGTGAAAGTGAGAAAATGTCATGCAATGCTATTCTTAAGAAACTGTATGAGCCGAAAATGGATGTGATTTTGACCATTCGCTTCAAAATAAGAGCGGAAATCGAGATAACAAAACATATGTTTTGTCAGGAGATAGGCTCCTGGTTTTGTGTCCTATTTTGCAGACGAGGACGTGTATCGGCGTTTTGAAAAGCATAATTATGTTCTTTCATTCATTTATTGCCATGGAATATGCGTTTACATTGTTTTTTCACTGTCAATAGCTCGGTTAATGCGGCTGGCGATCATCTTGCCGGCGGAAGTTTCATGGAAAAGGAATAAAATGAAAGACTTTTCCTGATGACTACGTAGGCAGTCTCTGTGGTGTAGTGGTTAGGTGTAGTCGCATTGAGTCGAAGGTGCCGGGTTCGAACCCTACTCAAGTATCTATTCCGTCCTTCTTTTTTTTCCCGTTTTTTGTGTTGTTGTTTTCTATAAATATATACCTAAATAACTGTTACTTAATAAAGTGCAACAAACAGCAAGAAAAGTATTGTGTTTCCAGAGAAAATATCGTGCACCGTATATTAAATATATGGATAAACGATCTGATTTCTATTATTTCCTACAATTTACTGTGGGAAAACCAGAGTTGATAACCACTAGATCATTTTCTAAACAACGTTCCCACGAGTTCTTTCTATAGACTGATAGTAATTATTCTAGTACTTTCCAACATGTAAATAGGACATTCAATGTCATTTTTGATTCTTTTAAGTCTCACTGCCTAACTAATGCCAGTATCAACAGAATGTGCCGCAGCATTACTATCTTTTAGATACCCTAGTAATAATAATAATGATGATTTATTAACAGATCCACTGGGTGGCTCTTCCCTGTTAAATTACATTAATTACAATTACAAAATAAATCAAATTAAGTTACCGTATTTATTCGACTATAAGCCGAGCAATTTTTTCAGAAATTTGGACTTGTATCGACCAAAAACATTCCCAACAAAGGGGTTCGGCTTATAGCCGAGAGTTTGATCAATTTTTTTCCTCTCTCAGGACTTGAGAACTTGTGGAAATGTCACGCAAATTCTGTGATCGACTTGTAGCCAAGTCAAAATCAGTGAAACACAATAAATTATAATATTATTAAAGACAAGATGAAATTGTTAGTCAATGCACTTTTATAGATGTGGTGGCTCCTAAAGGAGCCGTTTTTTGAAGAGCTAGCAACCGATAAACAGTTTACTCACCATCGCTCTCGGCTTCACTCTCCATCTCGAACTCGTTGTCTTCTTCTTCGTCGTCGATTTCCTGCACCTCTTCAGTGTACAGCTCGTCGTCCTCAGTTCCATCCAAAGAGTTGGAGATTCCACAGGTCTTGAAGGACTTAGCAACCATCTCCACCGGGATCTCTCGCCATGCTTCATGCACCCATCGAAGTACAAGATTTCTTGATGGCGCCTTCTTTTTTCCAGCCGGAGTATAGTCGAACGGGCTGCTGATCATCCATGCCAAGTACTTTCTTCGGACGTTATCTTTGAACGGCTTGTTCAAGCACCTGTCTAATGGCTGCAAAACAGGGGTCAGGCCTCCAGGGATAACTGCTACATCAATTTTCCGCCGGTTGAGATCTGCTATCACTTCATCGGTCAAGTGAGCTCGGAATGAGTCCCACACTAACAGCGACTGTTCGTTACGAGGGGTCCGCGGCAAACACTGGAGAATCCACTCCTTAACACGTGCCTCATCCATCCACTCTTTCTTGTGGAAAGAAACACGGAGGGACTCCGGAACGACGAGATCTCTCGGACTCCAGACGCCTTTAAAGATGACCTTGGGTGGAAGTTTTGTTCCATCCGCAGCGACGGCAAGTGTGACCGTGAAGCTCCGCTTTTCTGCTCCGCAGGTTTTTACCGGAACCGTTCGGCTGCCACTGAACTCCGGTGAACGCGTTGATGGAAGTTCGAAGCGCATCGGTGTCTCATCCATGTTGTAGATCCTGGATAAAGGATACCCAGCTCGTTGCCTGGCTGCTATGATGAAGCGGTGGAACTGCACAATTTTCTCCTCCATGTCTTCTGGCAGTCACTGAGCTAGCGTTGTCTTCGCACGGAAGCTCACCGAGTGTCGTCGTTTCCAGTTCTGATACCAGCCAAGGGAAGCCTTGAATGCAGGATCAGTTGAAAATTCTTTTGCCTTCAGGCGCAGCATCAATCCACTCACAGCAAAACCTATGAAAATAAATGAAAAACCATGTAAATGAATAAAATTCAAGCGATTCGAGAGTTTGTTTACTTTGAGCTGACACACATTGTTAATTTGTCATGACGAAGTGCAAATCGGACCAATAGGAAGTGTCGATTCCCACGCACTGAAACAAACTCACGTGCGTTTTCAATACAAATCAGCGTCAAACAGTTACTCGCCTTGATCTCTGCTCGGTGAACCATTCCATTATCTGCTGGTCTAGCTCAGGATACTTTGGGGTAAAGCGACCCATAGTTGTGCATTTCGCCGACATCTTCAGCTCCCCGTTAAAGAGTTTGGCCTGATCTCTGCGCCAGCGACGGACCATGGACTCACTAAGTCCATAATCGCGAGCAATCTCCGAGTTGTTTTCGACTGCTTCCACTTCAGCAACAACTTTAAGCTTGAAAGCCATACTGTACAATGAACGTCGTGCCTTTGGCATGATGAACGGCAAGCGATAGATTATTGACTTCGGTAAGCAGTTGTTTGTGACGATAAAAATCAATCTGGTGGCTTTCATTTAAGTATTTTTCGCTTTATAGTGCAGTTAGGATCAATTAGTATTCACAAGCACAATGTTTTGCACCGATTGGCTAATTGTTGACAACGAATAAAACGCTTTAAGCGGTGTGATTTTTTCCTACACAATAACTTTCAACATGACTGTTTCCTGAGAGGGAAGGTTTCTTGAATGAATGCTCAAGTAACTTTTTGTGAAGAAACCTTGGTCTCGGCTCATAGCCGATATTTTTCCGATTTTTTTTCTTAAAAAAAAAGCAAATTTCCCTTTCGTAAACGGTCGTTGCCATTTGAAACGGTCGATGCCATTTCTCAGAACGGTCGTTGCCATAGAGTACCGAAGTGTGACGTCATAGAAAATGAAATTTGTGAAATTATGGGATTTGTTAAGCTATTCTGATTGAACAACGTCCAAGACGCCTACTCGCCAAAAATTAGCAATTTGGGGCAAATTGTCTCGGAGATATTAGCCCAGATATGCTCCGATGACTCCATACAAATCCTTCTAAATCTTACCTGGTTCCTAATCTTATGAACCAAGCCAAATTTAGAAGGATTTGTATGGAATCGTCACAGCAGAACTGGGCTAATATCTCAGAGACAATTTGGCCCGAATTGCTAATTTTTGGCGAGTAGGCGTCTTGGACGTTGTTCTTTCAGAATATCTTAACAAATCCCATAATTTCACAAATTTCATTTTTATGACGTCATCACTTCGGTACTCTATTTGAAACGGTCGATGCCATTTCTCATGACGGTCGATGCCATCGCAAAGGTCGATGCCAAGAAGGAACCGATATTTCCGACTCTCTCCGACGACATGCGTGACAATCAGAGCAATGCGTGACTAGCTTTCCTACAAACCATCGCGATTTTTATCAAATCAAAATGGCGGACAAACCCGACAAGTTTCTCAGAGATCTAATATCTTCAGCTATAAAAGAAGTCGAATCGAAAAGTAAATCTTTTGAATCGACCGAAATTACAAAGGAGAGTTTTCTGGCTTCGCTTCCAGATGATTCATTTTACTACCTGAAGGCAATTTCAGGAAATGGAGAAAAGTTCAAAATGCACTTTTTGACCGAAGATATAACGAAAGAAAACCTGGAGCAGTGGATATCCGAATATGAAGTGATAAACAGCATCTCAGTGAAGTTAAAGGGGAACTCCGGGATAAAAACGAACTTATTTAGAATAGTAGTCCTATATCTAAACTTTCAGTTTTTAATAAACTTTCTTACCGTACTCCTACCGCTAAGTAAATCTTTTACTTAAAAGCTGGCCGAAAAGCCGTCCTAGTATTCCGCCATCTTGGGAAGAATACGAGCCGCGTTACAATGGTCAGCAGTGCGTTGTGACGTAAGAACGTCAATGGTTCGCAGTTGGTTGGCGGAGGGTTCGCGGGAGATTCGTATATTAGAACTACGAGGGCAGAACGTCTTTCTATTTCGTCCCTTTGCATTGTGTCCGTGGCTTCCAATTCAACCTTTTTTGACCGTTTGTATTAAGCAAAGGAGAAAATGGTCAGCTGCGTTGTGCCTGACTGCCACAATTACTCAGAAAAGACGGGAGAAGCCGTGAGTTACCACAAGTTCCCGCAAGACCATAGAAGGAAGGCATGGCTCGACCGAGTAAGGCG